ATTGTTGAATGCTGATGCTACTGGGTGCTGGGTGCTCCTGGTTGTAGCCCTTTGGGTGCCGTGCATGACATTTTTACGTACCATTCTGGGGCGTATGGTTTCGCCTTTGGTTCATCTCTCTTTTCATCCTCTTTTTTATCCACCGCCATTTCCAAACCCGTTGTCTATTTACTTTTTTGTGTGCTGGGGGAAGAAAGAAGAGAGAAAACATTACCCCAAATCGAAGGAAACTTCTTCTCTACTCCCGTACCGCGTCTGGGTTGCACCTTTTCTTGCTTTTTCCGTGCTCGTCCTGCCGGTTCGCCATCCATCTCCGACTCGGCAACATCCATAGTATTTCATATCCAGGCTACCTCACCTCACCTCACCCGTTGTCGCCCTCCAACATTGGATATTCCCAACAGGCCATACGAGGCAAGGGTTTGATTTGCTTCTGCGGGATTCCATCACCGCATAGCAGACAAATCTGTAGGCTGCGGCGCGCTGCGCACGAGTCGGACGACTGAAACGAAACGGACACGCGCGCTCACGCCTTTGGAACCAGCTCGCCTACGAAATACCTTACCTGTCCAAACAAACGTACCCGCAACAGCGGCCAACTCTCCTTCGACCTGGAGTCGAGCATCCAAACCCAAACCCTACTCTGTCATCATCATCATCATCTCTAATCCACACCTCCGGATCTCTACTGCAACCGCCAGACCTCGTGGGACTGCTACCTTACGTCGTACGTAGTGTGGGTGTGCTTGTCTGTCACTGTTCGGTTTCTCTTTTTTGGCCGTTCCCATCTCGGCTTCGCAACCCCGCCAGCCGTTCTCGGCACCCCACCTTATCGCAGCCAAAGCCGCTATTTTTCGCCTGGGCGATTTCTTGGTTGAACAGTACCTTTCACCCAGTACCTTCCTTACCTTACCGGTAGTAGGAGAGAAGCCAGGCCGCCAAGCAGCGAATCAACCCAAAGGCGGAAAAAAAAAGGGAAGCGTCGTCATCGGTTCCTCAAACTCTCTCTCGCTACTCCGAAAACCCACCGACCGGCCGCGGGCTTGTTTGAACCTCTCGCCTTACCCTCCACAACCCAACCAACCGACGAAACCCTTGTTCTACGGATCTCGAGACTGCAACCATGGCTGCTGCAGCTGCGCATGAAACGCCTGAAGAGCCTCAGAGCGATGGCTCCAAGCTCAAGACCTTTATTGGTATTCTGAAGAAGTGAGTCTATTCCGTGGTGGGTGACGTCGTTTGGCGGTTTAGCTTGCATTCGCAGTGCCTTTGGAAATCAGGAGGCGAGTTTCTCTGCTTCGCGGGCGGGGATGCGTTGGCTGATGAGCGACGATCCCTGGAGGGGTAGATCTGCGATCGTCACCTCATCAGACCCCCAAAACTTCAGAACCAGACGGACGAGAATCGTGAGGAAAAAGAAATTTGTTGCTGACTGGCCTCCTTCTTTCCAGGTTTATTGGTGTCGCCGACCTTGCCGCCGTTCGCTTCTCTCTCCCGTCCCAACTCCTCGAGCCGACGCCGAACCTCGAATACTGGAACTACCTCGATGCGCCCAACGCCTTCGTTGCCATCGGTACCGCGGACGAACCCCTCGACCGCATGCTCGAGGTCTGCCGGTTCTGGTTCACAAAGGATCTGAAATACGTCAAGGGAAAGCCTTGCAAACCATACAACTCGTGTTTGGGAGAGTTCTTTAGGGTGAGTTGCCGCTAGTCGCTTCTCTGCGCACGATGCGCCTGTTATAATGTATGACGCTGACAGAGAATGTGGTTAGTGTAATTGGGAAACCGAAGATAATGCACCAAAGATCAACACGACAGCCCTCGGCAGCGGCGCGGGTAGCAGCTCGTCAAGCTTCAAGTCGGCCAAGGCAGACAAGAACGCCTCGGCCGTCTCCCTATCCGTCCCGCAACACGGCAACACGACACCCGAGAGCAAGCCCCTCCGTATCTCGTACCTGACCGAGCAGACCTCCCACCACCCGCCCGTAAGCGCGTTCCACATCAGCTGTCCCGAGCGGGGCCTCTCTGCTCGCGGCTTCGACCAAATTACGGCAAAGTTCACGGGTACTAGTGTGCGCGTGTTGCCTGGCGAGCACAACCTCGGTATCTTCGTCACGCTCGAAAAGCGCGGCGGTGAGACGTATCGCCTCACCCACCCCGCGGCGCATCTCGGTGGCATCCTCAGAGGAAGCTTGAGCGTCAGCGTTAGTGAGATGGCGTACATTACGTGCCCGCAGACCAAGCTCAAGACGATTTTGCACTACATTGAGGCTGGGTGGCTTGGCCGCTCTACGAACCGAGTCGAGGGCATCATCTTCAAGTACGACCCCGAGAACGACGACAAGGTCAATATCAAGGACGTCCCGGAGGCCGACATTGTCGCCCGCCTGAGCGGTCCGTGGCGCGAGAAGATTGAGTTTACCCTTGGCTCCAAACCAGTGGTGAGAACCCCCCTCTCTGTCTTCCTTCGTTTCCCCCTCTGCCGCATGATTACTCACAAGAATATGGTAGAACTCTCACCCTGCCGAAGCCCGCTACACAATCATCGATCTCGCACCCCTCAACGTAGCGCCCAAGGTGCTTCCCCCGAAGGAGAAGCAGCTCGAGAACGAGTCCCTGACGATGTGGGGTGGCGTCACCGAAGCCATCCACGCGAAGCAGTTCTCCAAGGCGACGCAGGTCAAGGTCGAGCTCGAGGAGCGGCAGCGGGAGCTGGCGCGTGAGCGCGAGCGCACGGGCGAGGTCTTTAAGCCCGCCTTCTTCGAGCAGGTGACGGACACGGGTGGCAAGCCCGAGTTGACGGATAAGGGTAGAGAGGTGCTCGCAAGGGCGCAGAAAGGGGAGTGGGACATGAGCGATATCATTGTTGTAGAAGCTCCGGCTCCAGCTGCGGCTGCGGCTGCGGCTCCCGCGGCTACGGAGAGCAAGTAAATGGTCGGTGTTGTTGACGGGAGAGATTAATTGGATTAGAAAGGCATACTGAGCGCCTGGGAAGCTGCATCGGGCCCGTTCCTTGTTTCTCTTTTCTTGGGACTCCTCTCTCCGTTTTCTCGTTTTCCGGATTATTTGGATCTGTTTTGACCTATTGACCTTTCCTGAAGGATGCATCGCTCGCTTTTCTGCTTTTTGGAAGTTTCTTTCCTGCGTTGGTTGTTTTCCCGTTTCATGATCCCTATCCCTCTCGCTTGAAGAATTCTCGCATTAACGATGAGGGCTTGAGGGGTTTTTGCGTTGCATGGTGTGCGGATGAGGAGAGGAGGAGGAAGAGACCATTTTGCATTGTTCGCTCTTGGGTGTGGAACATTGCGACACAGACATACATATACATTCACACACACAGAGACACATGCGTTCTTTTTCAAAGGCGGCGTTGGGATTTTAGATGGGTTTTATGCTTTATTGGTTTATTTATTGGTTTAGTCTATTTATAGTAATACATCTTATCAACACTAGAGTTCGTTTGATTGTACTTGGAGATTAGATGATTAACGTGGGGATAACTATCACAGACATATGGTAAGTAATAGATGTCAGATTGTGAGAAAACTGAGTTTGCGAGGAAAGCTTGGCTCTTGTGTTGATCTGAACAAGAGGGGGGCGCAAGCGAGGTTTCTGTGGAGCCTCCTGTCTTGTGATGGGATGGCATTTCAAGGTACATTCTGTCTCACTATTTCACTTGGAAGAGAGGGGAAGAAACCTTGTTAAATGTGGTGTTGGAACGGCATTCGTTTTCGGATGGCGGAGCGGACGTGCTGGGTGCGGTGGTTGCGTGTTGGCCGCCGAGTTTGGGCCCGGGCTCCGTGCGGTTCGGCCCCGCTTCCGGGAGGGGGGAAAATCGGGGGTTTGTGGACGCCCGTCTTTTTCTCGGTGCTTGGATGTAACCTCCTCGGCACTACAACCTACCTTAGTACTAATCTATGTGTTGCAGTTTTACTGCAAAGTTTGGAGAAAATTTTAGGATATGTGTGTTGCTACGGCCTATGAGGATGGACGGTTGCGGTGAATATGGTGCACTGGATGAAGGTGTCGCCGTTCATGGTTCACCAAGCTTGTACTGTTACCCTGTTCGACGTCGACATGAAGATTACACATGGTATGTGGAGACTGGAGAGGCCGGGAAGGAATCATGTTATGCTCCTCTGCGATAATACCTACTTTGGGTAAGAACTCTTGTCGACTTTTGGTAATGAGAATAATATTTTGTGTCTCGTACGCGATGAGTCTCACGCCATCCATTCCTAGATACCTAGAACTAAAGAGTAATCTACTCCGGGTATCATGAATAGTTATACGAGATCTCAGGATTTCTTTGTCTTCGAGCTAAATGGTATAGATGTCTGGTTAGACGTAAGAGACAAACTCCTTTGCCAGCACAAGGAACCTCTCCAGCCAAAGTTTCACATCCTCAACGACGAACTCCTTGCGTCCAGAACGGCTACTATGAGACGGCGCATTGGCATCAACAACGTCTGATTGAATATCATAGACAATGATCCAGGAGAAACGTCTTTGTCCGTTGATCAACGATTACTCCATCGACCTGGTTCTTCAAAGCAGGGATAATCACTCTGTTTACAGGGCCACAAAGACCGAACTCACGGAACAAATGCTAGAAGGAGGTTGAGGGTGAAGTGATACATAAAGTCAGGAGGGTTTCGACAACTGACAGACTACACATCTCTACAAGATCAACCACTTCTCGGATAGTAGCATCAATCAGCTTTCGTTTCACGTCCCAGTCTGTAATACCAATTCTTGTTCGTCAGGACTGGCTCCTGGCCTTACTTTACCACTGCATTAGCATCTCCTTCACCTTTGACTTACCCTACAGAAACCGATTCTCTAGCACAACTTCACATTCACTCTTTCGGCCTGCCTTCACTTTCCATAGCAATCAAGCCGCAGACACCTCCGACCGCACCCTCTCTCCAGTCTAAGTTCCCTCCCTACTTTCTCTCACCCACAGCTGTCAACCCCAACCAACTTCCTCCCCAAACCATGGCTGATCAATCTCAGAAGAACCAGGCACCGGCCACGACCCCACACGAATCAAGTGATTCAAAAGGCGTGGTGCCTCTCGAACTCTTCCTCGAAATTGCCGACCGCTACGTCGAGTCCGCCTACGCTCAAGCCGCAACCGAAGTCTCGACGTGGCACGTCGAAGGCTGCCCAGACGCCATCGACTCAATCTACATCAGCGACAACCACGCCTACGACTACGCCTCACAGACGAAGCGCTGGCGCCTCGTCAGCACCCTCGCCAACCTCCGCAGCAGACGTGTCTCGGATATCGTCGACAAGACCTTTTGCAAGTTCCCGCGCCACCACCACGTGCCCCGTCACCACCGCACCCCGGCAAACGCCACAGAATGGTCTGCTACGGGGCAGAAGAGCAGCGATATCGTCGACCCGCCCAGGCACGCCTGGGTCCTCCCGGACATCGACGTCTTCGTCCTCGACTTCAAGGCCGCGGACCGGCATAACAACGCAGACGGCGAGAACCCGGAGCCCCTCGAGACCGCAATCCTACAGCCTTCACAGCAAGCCGCGAGAGGACCACTGCGCATGATCCGTAACGTCAGCAGTAGCTTAACAAACCTATTGACCGCGAGCACGAAGCAGATCCGCGCGCTCGCGACCCTGCCGGAGTTGAAGCGCGTGCAGACGTGGTGCGCGATCCAGAGCCCCGTGCAGCCCGCCGACGAGCCGCTGCACGACCACGGGGCGGTTCTGCCTGTTGATCCGGCTATCCTGCCTGACCTTGCTGCGGAGCTGGCGCTGAGCGATACGCGGCTTTTGTTGTTGTGGGGGCCGTTGTTCGATGCTGGTGTTGTGATCACGATTCAGCCGAGGTATGCTTTGCGTGGGGAGATTGAGCTCGTTCGTACGGACGGAGGTCTGCGGATGAGGTTTCTTGAGGAGGTGTGTAAGTGCTATCGGATGGAACTGGAATAAGGTGGTGAATGGAAGCGCGATTTGTGGCTGTCAGGGTAAGTTCTTTGGAGTTGGTGGAAGTGTACCCTTTGGGTCCAGGCTGGGTACTCGATTCTTATACTTGATAGTATACGTGGTAGGTGAGAAGAACTGAGCGGGGCAATCTAGACTATGATATTCTTTGATACCCTGATTTGAATCAGGTCGCTTGCGAAAGTCCCTGCTCTGCAGGCGCCTTGGTGTATTTCCCAATCCATGCCTTATCATCAAGCGGATCTAGAGGGATAAGTACATGAATTAGCGTTATCTATACACTGCAGAATTGAAGAGTGTAAATGTGGCCACTCGTCGAACATGTCCCTATGGTTACAATGCCAGATAGATAACGTAGTATTAGACGGCAATTAGAGACCAGATACTCTCTGCATAACGATGTAACTGCCCCCCATAGTGCTCTAGATGGAGTTCACGGAAATTTCGGTCACATTCGATTGGGTCTATATCAAATTATCAAGGTATGCGTTAAGGACCCTGCTTTTCGATGCTGGAGGTCGTAAGGGTGTCTAAGAATATGCTTTCAACTCTGCCTGTTCGCGCTCGAAGCTAAAATTCTCTGTACCAAAAGAGCCCCCAGTTAGATTACTTAGCCCAAACTAAGAGAAACCTGCTTGAGAAGGTTATTGATGCCACGACCTCTACGCATACATTTCTATGTAGAAGAAAGAAAGAAGTCTCTCTGTCTACCACCACCACAGTAGCTGACCTCGTCTCTCCCTCCATCATATCGCAACATTGACGCCTTCGGTACAAGCAGTGCTGACTCTGGCTCTACGATGTCGACTAAATCATACACCACATTGCTCTTCGCTTTCGTCATATTCTATGACAACCTTGAGAGACCAACACCAACCCGCAGCCTGAGTCCCCCTCCACAATTGAATACTATGCGGTGGTCCACCAAGCTTCACAATACCTTCGAGCGTATTAAATTTGGTATCAGGGGCGCCACTCTCCCCAGCGGCATTCTTCCGTACGAAATATGGCTCGCAATTGTCGATGCCGTGTTTGACGACTTGGAATCGACAGTCGAGCCATTATCATGGGTATTGTCCGGATATGAGTCCGAAAAGGTTACAAACGAGAATCGCTGCCTCATGCTCGATGAAAGCGAACCCCCTTGGTTTCACAGAATTGAGCACTTCTTGATTGACGACGCCAGAAACTGGGAAAAGAGCAAAATAAAGCATCGACAACATGCCATGGAAGTCCTGCATAACTTCACATTGGTCGACCGCAGAACTCGCGAGATTATAAACAGACGATTACCGCGATGTACCTTTCTTCATAGAAATTGGTTCGAGCGCAATAGGCCACTGACGCGGCCTTCGACGTCGATACGAATCGTCCCGAGCATCGATCAGTTTCCTTACTTTGTCAGACGTCCTGCTCCGCAATCTCACATGACGCGTTACAGGGCTCTTTTTAGTCGTTGGGAGTACCACGGCTGCGTGGAACCTTTCTCTCATGTTCAGATGATACTGCTTTCTGCGATTCTACTCAGGCCCGGCTGGGCGCACCATCTCAAACACCACTTTCAGTATTTGCAGAAGATGCCTAGTTTGAAGAGTGTAGAGTTCAGGTCAAAACGACAGTACGGGGAAGCGGATGAAACTACTTACTATACAGTAGTGGACAATCTTCTCACTTTCCTGCCTGGGGATGAGAATTTGGACATGGACGAGATTATTTCGATGTGGACGTCACTCAAAGACAGAGGGGTGAGGTTCACTGTGAGCCATTCCAAGGCTTTGGTCGAGTTTCCCTGAAAAAACACCTTCAGACGTTTCCACGAGGTCCCCTTCGCAGAATGCGAGCTGATGTCGTTGAAGAAGAGAAGGGTTGGAATGACAACAACAACAGAACTCAGGTATTTATCATGTGAAGAAGGTATAGCTAGAAAGGTGTACAGCCCGTGCTAACAGACAACGCAGTATATGTCTTACTCCGAGTCTTGACACTCTGGGCGACAATGGGAGCTTTCCATGGAGTGTTCTGCGCTAGATAAGTCAGCTTGGCTGGGAATCTACTGGGGCAGGCTGCGCATTAGTGAGGCGCAATTACTCGGGTTGCTACTGGTATTCGAAGCTGCCTTAGAAGTATGGCACTCGATATGTTTGAAGTGTGCTGTATATGGACGGCCCTCCAAGGATCGCGGCTGACGAGTTTCGACAAACTGGATCTCGTCCAACGACGTGTGGCCTATGTCAGACCTGTACATATGGATTACTCCGTAGGCAGAGAAAAGAAGACTCCGGTCCAGTAAAATGATCCGTAGATTACTAAACTCATTGATACGAGATCTGGGCGAAGCGACTCGACTCAGCCGCACTTGATGGGTACCGCCGCCTTGCAAAATCACCGGGGATAGCGGCTGGTACCTGGGTTCCCTTCTCGCTCTCGCGCGGCTGATTCAGCGTTTACGCGTCTCCTTGCCACTTCGCTTACTGAACTCTGATATGAATGCAAGATTGTGATGTCCCGTGAGCCCGTGAGGTGACTGGCAGTGGAGTTATGCCTGACTCGCCGGGTCTATGAAGGCCCGAGGTACGGGAAAATCAGAAGCGGAAGTATTTGTTGGCCTGAAAGCCGCAGAATCCTCATGAGCATACGCAAGGACAAGAAAGAGCTCAAATTATGACCTAAATCCATGCATAGGGGTTCCCATAGGATCAGTAAACAATCCTACTCGTACTCCGTTAAAGGTGCTTAGGCAGACGACGGTACTTTCTGCATTGGCCAATTGGTCGGTCAACCGGGTTCATCGGGGGAAAGCAGTCGAAGCGATGGGGGACTGTGCGGGTTGCAACAGGAAATCGTGACAGAGAAATGGAGACATGTCGAAGCGAACTTAGCGAAGAAGGCAGAGAGGGGTAAAGCGACACCTTGGCTCAACTCTGTACCGGCGGGATGTAACCAGGGCGAGTTCAACCATGTTGATTTCGCAATCTCGGAGGCCCACCTGGAAGATACCATAGAGAGCGGCATATAGACCCCCAACGGACATGGTGTAACTCGACTGAGAGATTTTCTGTCTAGCAAACTTATGCAAGCAGCAACGTACAGAGTGGTTTGCGGTGACATGGTGCTTTACCAGTCAACTCTAAACAGCTCATGACGAAACTAATTGAGAGATTTGTCGAAGGTGGTCTGAGATGTACACGTGCTAAGAGAGACATCAGACGAACTAGTGTAGGGAAAGGTCTAGGCCAACATTTTTGCATGACACGAACCACATCCATTTTCTCACAGTCACCAGTACCAAGACGCCGGATCCAACGGCGCGGGAATGTGGGAACTCCCAGCCCCGGCCCGTGTAAGCTTTGAGTGCCCAGCTTGGCTAAGTCCAAGCCTCGGCGCCTGTCAAAGACCATCGATCGGGCGGGATCGGCTCGAACCAAAGGAGGAGGAAAGGGAGGGAAGGGAAGGGAAGCAAGGAGCTTAAAGCAAGAAAAGAGGCTCAAGGCCTCGAACGTGTTCGATGATGATCAATGTGAGTCTATATTGGTTTAGTAGTGGCAAAGTTCGATCGTTTGTGGTGCTTCTGGCGATGTTCCAGAGCGAAACGCCCCGAAAAAGACTTTGTGTGTGTGTGTTTTTTTTTTCTTTTTACCCCTGAGTGAAGGCTTGCAGCCGAAGCTAGAGTTTGAAGCTGTTTAATGAGGGAACGAAAAAGCATTGTGCAATGTTTGATTGGCTATACCCCGCACCAAACTACCACTTGAGTTCCCGCCCAGAAGCTGGGCTTTGCCATCCATGACGCCTTTTCATCCCACTTGACGGGATGATCGAAGCATAATAAACAATGTCCGTTCGGCTGCAACTTCATTAATTAGACGAGAAGAGAGTGTCAGAGAAAGAAATGACAGGTGGGGTACTCCGACCTAGGCGAACACTGCCAAATAGGGTTTATCGTACTCAGGACGGATAGTTCCTCTCTCACTTTCTTCTGTTCTGGCCCCCTCGGACACCGACGTAATGGCAAGTTGGATGAGGCTGTAAAAAGAGAATTGGAGAGTACCACGGTAAGGAGGACTCTCAGACTTGTTCATTGCAAAGAAAAAGGACTAAATTTTGACAAAGAGATTGAGACATCGAGGGAGTCGAAGAGTCGAGAACTGGTCATCATCCCTGGGCAGAGTTGGTTCTGGACCGCTGCCTGGACCACACGCTCGGCCCCACATGGGGTCCCTTCCATTTACCGGCAGCAGCTAAATCCACTGATGTGACATAATCTGGTAGGGCTACGTCCCAGAGAAATCCTTGGAGATCCTGGTGTGGTGGTGTGAGACATGTCGACAGGGGCGAGTTTGTTGCTGCCCGGTTGAATTTAAACCACTCATCTGGGGTCGTTTCCAATGTCAGCGTATCCACTAATACAATGGGCACCGTTGTGTGATCCAACTTCCGCGCTTCCGCGGCTTCTGCACAAGAAGGGGGGGGAGGAAACTTGGGAAACTGTTGGAACTTGGAAAGACTTTTTTGACAATGTTGTTGGTGTGGGGGAACGCTTCAGCACACTAGATCCTAATCCCTTCCAACTTCCAGGTTCCCCCGAATGCCCTGGTCCTATCAGGATGCAAAGGAGATTCGATCATTCGTAAGTGCTGTGGTGCTCTCTCCAAAGGGCCGGGAGTGTGAGACACCACGTCTTCTAGTTTAATATCTCTGATGTGGAGGCTTGCATACGGGAGATCATCACTCGTCTCAAGTTGAATACCGCCAGCGGCAAAATATCCCGACATCAGCAGGACCGGGGGCAAACAACTCTAACTAAGTAAACAAGATGCAAAATATATAATATCCCAACTCTCGCGTTCCCTTTGTACTGTTTCTCTTTTCCTCTTCACCCAAAATCGACCTTTTGCGTCTGTCACTCTTTTACACCCCAGCGGTACTCATCGACGCCTTGGCAGGTTCCATCCTCCGTTCACTCCTTCAAATCAACATCCCAAGAATCCCGGTGATTTCCAAAAACCCCTTTTCAACCAAACCATCAAAATGCGTTTCTCCGCTGTCGCCGTTGCCGCTCTCGCCACCCAGGCCGCCGCCTGGAGAGGTCAAGGCCCCCCGTCCGGCTCCTACTGGGGCTGGGGTAACACTGGTGCCCAGTCCAGCAAGGCCGTCGACGACTGCTCTGGCGCCGAGGTGACCTCTACCTCCACCATCACCCTCCCCGCTGCGACCGCCCCTCCCGCCGCCACCTCCGCCGCCCCGGTCGTGACCCCCTCCGCCGCCGCCCCTGTCGAGGAGGCCGTCAGCACCACCTCCTCCGCTGCCCCGGCCGCCACCAGCGCTGCCTCCAGCGGCACCTCCGGTCTCACCTCGGACCAGCAGGCCGCCCTCGATGCCCACAACGCCGCCCGTTCCGACGTCGGCGTCCCGGCCCTCGAGTGGGATGCCACCCTCGCCGCCAACGCCCAGGAGTGGGCCACCCACCTCCTCTCCGTCGGCTCCCTGACCCACTCCCAGGTCTCTGACCAGGGCGAGAACCTGTACATGCAGTCCAACACTGACAGCCCCTACGTCAACGCCGCCAACGCCTGGATCTCCGAGAAGTCTTCCTACAACGGCGAGACTATCTCCGAGTCCAACTACATGGGCTTCGGTCACTACACTCAGATCGTCTGGAAGAGCACCACCAAGGTCGGTCTGGCTGTTGCCACCAACTCCCAGGGCACCTACGTCGTCGCCCGCTACTCGCCCCCTGGCAACTAGTAAGTTTTGGTCTTCACTGGAAATCTACCCTGAGAAACAAACGGCTAACAAGAGAAACAGCATCGGCGAGAAGCCCTACTAAACGTCGACAAGGACGCCGCCATTGGACGGACTTTTGGAAAAATGGCAAACGGGATCACGCAGCGACAACAAGGCAAGGCACCTGTTCTGGTAGCTACGTTGGCTGGGCCGAACAAAACCAAAAACTCTTTTCTTTCCATTGGACATTTTTTGTGTACTTGGGGTTGAGAAATTTTCCCACGACTTGATGTCGGATCCATTCCAGGTCTATGCCAATCGAGAAACGAGGAAAAGGGGGTAGATCCTGGGTCTCTTTTACAAAATCAACCGCCCTTTGGCGAATTTCTTGCATGACTATAACAAGACATAACGTAAATGCTTCACGATGCAACTTCAATTTCCCGCAGTGACCGTGATGTGATATTCCAATGGCACTCGCTTGTGTACTTTTTTTTTTTTAGTGGTGTTGTCTTGCGAAGTGAGACTCGGGAACTTATTCTCATTACGGCCTTTACCGAGCCGCCGTGCGCCTTCTGACTGGATACTAGTCGACATTTTGAACGTATCGGCTTGGCATACAAAAGCCTTGTGCGAATGCCGTGTTTCGTCGCCATACGTTCACACAGCCGTCCGGTAAACTTCTCCGGGAAGTGGAGGAACGGTAAGTGGACGGGTTACACCCACGGTCCCCCGCTCTCTGGAATAGTGACGACGAATCCTATCGGCGGAGTGTCTACTTTACCTATCCGCTAAGATTGAATCGTGGAGGAAGCAGAATCCGGGGTAGCTTAAGAGAGCTTATTTTCCTTTGCTTGAGGGTTA